TGAAATAATCAAGTATATCCTGAGCTTTAGAAACTCTGATTTACTTAGTTACGATATTCTACTAATAATTTGTGGAATGAACAGAAATATCTGTAATCCTTCTGTTATGAAACTGGCATTTTTGCCTTCAGTCTTAAATACAGGAACGTATATAATACAATACCAATATTACTTCTCATCCACTCAGTAGACATCAAAGAATCCCAACTCGTTTTAAAATTTTCTACCAGAAATAAGTTATATAAGTACTTTCTCGGTTTCTCAGTTCCTGTAGAAGTCACTGTTTATTGCAGAAGAGTTTGTATGGTGATTGCATTGTAGATAGTTTGGGGAGAATTGAATTAAACATAATAACTTATATCTTTACACTGCCTTTGCATTGTCACTTGCTGATCACCCTTCCTCACTCTACTTACACCAAACATCCCACTAATCACCTAAATTCCCAAGCTAATCACCAGACATCTAAGAGCAATGAAGGAGTGGGCCAGATTCTGTGTATATATTTCCTCATATGTCTTTTGGGTTTAAAGCACATCTTTTCATTTGGTGTTTTACTAAATGGAGACTAGGCTTCAGCTATTTTTATCTCTGGAATTTATAGCAAGATAGTCATTTTCACAGAACTTCATTTCAAAAAAATAATTTAGAGATTTCCTTAAGTTTGCTGTAGTGGTTTTACTGGTAGTATGTTTTTAAACATATCTTGGCAATGCTCTGCCATTGATTGTTTTATAAAATAAATTTTATTGATATCTTTTGTTTTTACATCACCAAAATTTTCTCCAGTATCCTTCCCCCTACCCCATCTAGAGAGCCATCTTATATAACAAATGATGTTTTGCCAAAGAAATCAGCAAATTGATCAATAATACTTTGAAAAGGTATGTGCAGTGTACCAATATTCAATAAACATTAAGTTCTCACTGAGTGCCAGGCTGTGCTAAGCATTGAGGGGTCAGGAGTGATGAAGAACGCTGACCTCTAGGAACTTGCAATCTAACGAGTGAAGACAACATGCCAGAAGCTGAAAGGGTGGTGGAAGGGAAGAACCCAATGTGGGGACTTGGAGGAGAAGTCAAGAGAAGTGCTTGAGCACTACATCGCTGTGAGAAATGAGGAGGTGTCTGAGCTGAGCTCCCTCCTTAAATGGTGATTTTGAAGTTCATGATTCTACGCTTCAGTCAGAGGGGTAAAGAGTACTGATGAAGTGCAATACCAAGGCTGACGGGATCTTGCAGGATGATGAGGTTTTTCCCTCATCATGAATGAGCTTTATGGGGTATGGTGGGGTAAGCCCCAGGGTAGGGCAGCCCAGATGAGAAATCAAGATGTCTGAGCTGAGCTCCCTACTTAAATGGTACCATTCCACTTTTGCAAAGGAGTGGAGGGTAGGAATATCTTCTCATATCTCTTCTTCAGATGATGCTTGTCATTCACATTTGATAGTTTTGTGGGTTTTTTTCTGTTTATTTTGTTGTAGTCATTGTGTATATGATTTCACATTATCTTTTCGTGTATCTCTGTATTCATATTCATCGTTACAGCACAGTAATATTCTGTCGCATTCATGTACTATAACTTATTTAGCCATTAATTCTCTTATCAGTCTACTCTTGATTTTTTTTTTGGACTTAACAAAAATTTTATTTTTAATGTTACTTATTGAAAAGTACTTGCGTAATGTCTTTTTCATTTTCCCAGAATGTGTGCTTAAAAAGCAAACTGCCATGGCTATTTTTTTTAAGAATGTTTTTATTTTTAGAATTTTAATTCTTTCAGGAGGAGGTATCTATAAACACTTTGGAATAGTAAGGTTTTAAGAAATATAATCTTGTTCTTTCCATTATTACCAGATTGTAGTATTGATTTTTAACCCTAAACTATCAGAATCTTAGGATTTACATGAAACTAGTTAATTGAACGCAACTCTTGTTTAATTGATGTTTTTCCCATTCAGTTAGCCTTGCTAACAAGACTATATGTAAAGCTGTAACTAGGGTAGGGTAATCAGAACTTTGTCCCAGGTTGCTAACTTGAGGGGAGAGGGTCAGGAATTTTTCCTTTCTTGCTTCAGGGCATCAGGAGGGTCTGCCAGTGGAATCTACTTTGTACCTCAAGGGTCCTGCCCCTCTTCCATTGTCATGCCAGTGCCCCTTCACCCTGTGTGGGATGCCACTCAAATTAAAAAAAAAAAAAGAAACACACTTAGAGGTTTCTCTAGGAACAGAAAGTTGATTTATTTGCTGTTCTCAAGAATAGGGTGTCCCTCTACCTGTATGTTCTGATAAGGGGAGAGAAATTACAGAAACAAAGAACCAGATTAAATAACCCTAATGGGTAAAGCCCCCTCCCACCAACTGGCCAATGTTTGGCTCACAATCTGAACTCAGAAGTCTTCCATAGAAACAAAAACAAAGAAACAATATACATGTCCATATTTAGTGCCTTAGTTTACTGAAGTGTTGCCAAAGAAACAATTAAAAATGTGCAGTCAAGCTAGAACTGTGCTGTTGTGGCAAGGTCACCATGACTGAAATATAGCAACGGGTGTAGCAACAAAATACAGGGGGGCTTCAAGGGTTTCAGGCTTGTCAGACTTTAACTACTGAGATAACAATGGCATAAAGGGGGGGGACGGTTCTTGGGGCTGGATTCCCGTAACTCAGGTGATTTCTAGTAAATCAAAACTTGGGCCCATTGGGCTGCTATGTCTGCCTTGAGTCTGATACAGTTTCTGTTTATTCTTCTGAGAAGTCTTCACGGGACCCCTCATCCCACTCAGTCTTATCCCAAACCTTAATTACACTGAGGAGTCTACACTGGGACATCCCATTCAACCCCATGCAGTTGCCCAGCACAACTCTGCATTATGATGTTCTGTTGATGAGGCCTCCGTTTTATCTCCTTGAATTCCTCCCCAGGGTAATCTGGTGCCGGGAAGGTCCATTCTCCTCTTGGGGTCCCAACTGACTGTTGCTTTTCTGCTTGCTACTTCCTCCAGTGATTTGTAGGTTAAGATTCTGCTCCTCTTTACCTCTTCCAGAGGGGTTTTCTATTGCAACTGTTGTTGTTTGTTCTTAGTCTATAAAAAGGACCAGTGATGTCACAAGAGTGCTGTCTTGACTTGATTGTGAATTAGATTTCTAGTGCAGCTGAACCAAATGGGTCTTACCTCTGTGTTGGTACAATCTTTCAATATACTCAGCCCATCACCTTGTCCTGACTGCCAGTTCTCTACCTCTTTGCTTCCTCCTGGGAATTCCCCATTTTGACTGCAAGACTGGGGACTTTGCTCTGCTCCTTCCTGTCCCACACCCCTTTCAACTTTTACTTCTTCCCAGGAATTGCTTGGCCTGACACATAGCCAGAGTAAATTGTCTTCTGCATTAACATCGCTATCCCCAACTTTCGCCTGAGGCCTAGAGTTCCTAGTTATGATGCTGCCTACATGCTATAATTTGGTCAAATTCAACATATAAAGAGTATTTTCTCTCTTGAGAACTGTTCTAGAATTCTACAAAGAGTACTCTTTGAAGTGGAAAGAATGTCCACAAGCTTTGCAGTCAAAGGACTTAAGTTCAAATCCTGCCTTTCACTACTTACGATATCTTGGGAAAGTTGTTTAACCTCCAGGCCTCAGTCTCTTCATTGGTAAAATGAGGTGTCCTCCTTAAGATTCCTTCTAGCTCTAAGTCTGTGGTCCTATTTTAGAACATACTCTTTAATCTGTAACACTTGATAAGATGAATGATGTTGACTTAAAACCAAATTTGAAGGTATAATTGCAGAACCCCTAATAAAATTGTTGCCTAAGCATTCATTCATTTAGCAAGTAATTATTCAGTGTTTCCTGTGTAACCAGACCTTGAAAGATTATCATTCAGAATATCTCTGTATGTGAGTATTCTTCAGAAGCTTAGTCCATATTTAGTTCTGGAACTATTAAATTGGCTTCATTTAAAGTGAATTAAACAATTTATAAATAAAATGTTACATAGACAACATTTTATGAATTATTTTATAAAATAGAGAAGACTTCTAATTAAAGGAAAATTCATTATTTATTATTCCCTTTTAAAATCACATTTGAATATCATTATGGCTTCAGATTTGGTATCAATGGACACATCTATCACCATAGTTTTAACAGAATACTAGTACTCCCTTCCCCCCCCCAAAAGGGGAGAAATTAGCTAATTATGCATTATCTTTGATATCTGTTTCACAAATGGATATAAAGATGGCTTTTGCATCCTTTTACCTGTCCATAATCATCAAGAATCAAACATAGAAGAAACTGAGTAAGTGAAGAGCTGAATAATATAAAATTAAATTCAAAACCATTTTCTGTTTTTCATAGTAAAATGATTATTGAAAGAATTTAGTCTGAGGACTGTTGAAAGCTGGCTGCAGTTTAAAACGGATAAAATCTGCATCCTTGGCCTTCCAACAACCTTTACACCAGCAGATGGTGGGCGTAAAGATGTCATTCATCATTTATTTACAATGGGCTTTATTTATTCTAGTGTCAACAGCTGCCCCAGGGAGCGGGTTATTGAATTCAAATGTGAAGCTCTGGCTTATTTGCTTCCTTTCAAATTTGTCTTTAGAGCTTAGTTGCTAGGAGTCCATTCTGTGCTCTAATAATGATTCATGTATTGTGAAGCCATTCAGTAAATTGGGTTGTCAGGAATTGCCAAAAAAGGGTTAGAGGTCTTGGGGGGGGGGGCGCAGCGGTGAGTGTGAGTGAGTGTGTGTCTGTGTCTGTGTGTGTGTGTGTGTGTGTATATGTTGGGAAGGGTGTTGATAGCTTATGCTGTAATGATGTTGTGTGGTTTCTCTTTCAAACACTGGGGAAGTTGTCATTTTTTTCCTTTCATTGACCCCTTACCTACCCATCCCAAATTCCACGTGTGAATAATGTGCTTGTCGATTCTTCTTATGAAGCTGTAGGGGCATTTTATTAAGGAAAGCTTTCACCTTTTCTTTCCTCACAGGCAGGGCAGGAGTCCTTCCGTTCCATCACAAGGTCATATTACAGAGGTGCAGCAGGGGCTTTACTAGTGTATGATATTACAAGGTGAGAACTTGGAGAGGGATAGAAATATTTTATTTTGTTTTTAATATCAATAGAAATGTATTCTTAATAAATGTAGATGTTGTTCGTGACCTAAGTACAACTAAAGAGAGACAACATGAGTTGTAAATTAGAGGGCCAGCCTTGAAGTCAGGAAGAACTCAGTCCTACGTCTGACACATACTAGCTTTGTGACCCTAGTTAAATCATTTTAATCTCATTGCTCCAGGAAAGCTATGATTGGTATGGGAATCACTGGATCTCTATCAGTAGATCAACTTTATATCACAGAGTTCCTAGTGCCAGTGAAATCACCATACCACTAGATCCATTCACAAAACAACAATCAATTTAGAAAGGACAACCCTTTTTTAAATTGCTGTGTTCCTAAAATGTTATTATATGTATGTATGTGTGTATATGTGTATATGTATACTATATATTATATATACACACACAGTGATGAACCCTTAGAGTAAAGCAAATAAGGACCCCCTAATTAGTTATTTTAGTCATTATAGATGTTACAGTCAGGAATTTCTAAAGGTAGATTCTGAAGATACATTTTACAAATTGAAATTTAATAAATGCAATTCTGTAAATACAGGTCATTGAAATTTGTGCCAAATGTGATAACTCCATAAGCAAATGCTCACCAATATCAATGGTACCTTATTAGTAGGAAATTATTTAACATAATACAGTTCATTGTGCAGTATTTTATTGGGAAACACTGTTTAAAAGTATTTTAATTTTCATTCATTTTTGCATTCAGGAGAGATACGTTCAACCATTTGACAACTTGGTTAGAAGATGCTCGCCAGCATTCCAATTCTAACATGGTCATTATGCTTATTGGGAATAAAAGGTAAAGATAAAAGACATTCTAAGAGATACAATTTTGCCATTAGGATTAAGCTGTTGTATAGTTTATATAACTTTTTAGAAGGCTATCAGGTTTTATTTAAGTGGTTGTTGACTAATGTTACCCAAATTCTGAAAGCGACATAAAATTTTTATTATGTTAAACTTTTACCTTTTAAAAATACAAATATGGAACTTTATTGCAAAAATTACCAAGAAAAAACATTAATTCTTTTAAAGATTTATTCTGTATGAAATATTGAAAAATTAACCATTTCTCTTCTTACTCAGATCTCAGTTATTGCAACGCATCTTGATTTTCACAAATGAAGGTGTCATTTAAGTACTTTTCAATTTTTTATCATAATTTTAGCATATTTTTAAACCTCTTTAAGTTTTACTTCCAATACTGTTCATTACCTTTTTGTTTTTAATTAGAGCCCTTACCTGAGAAAATTGGTTCACCAATTAGTTGGCTTACAATTTTAACAGTAGTACATTGAGAAATATAGTTTCTTGGGTATGATATGAGTAAACTATTGTTTTTCTGAATTTTTACTAATGGCACCAAAACATTACCTCAATAATAAAAACAAAATTAGCATTTGTTAAAATGCCTGATACATGTCTACTTAAGTAAGATAGATGTACAGTAATTGGGCTACTGTGAATCTCTACCCTCATTGACTTTCCATTTAAGTTAAACAGAAAACTAAGTCTCATGATCATCAGAACATTCTTTTAAATTACTCACTCATTCTGTACTGCTCTTAACCTAAAGTACCAAAAGTAATGGTTTTATACCTGATCTCTAGAAACTGGGCAAAAATCACTTAACCTTTTTTTTTTACCTTTTTCAAAGAATACCCAACACCATCCAGATGGTGACAGTAATGAATTTCAGTTGTTATCAGTCTGTCTTGGATTTGCTTCATTGACAAAGAAATAATGATAGGTATCTGATTACAAGTCCCCAAGTTGCAGTTTTTTCCCCAATTAGATCACAATGGCCCTGAAGTGGGATACATTTTAAGCCCAAATTAATATTGTATGATTTCAAATGCTTCTTAGGTAATATAGCATTAGCTGCATTGTGATCTAAAGTGAACATTGTAGAGTTTACATTTAAGTATGCCTTAAGACTTTTGAAGGACTATCTGGCAAAAAAAATTAATAAAATTCTTTGTGGATTAGCTAGCGCATATCAGTAAAAATGTGTACATACTTGCAACAAAATTGTAAGAAGTATGTCTTGATATAATTACCTTTGGGTAGTTGTGTTTCTTCCCTTATTGCCTGAGTATATTTGATGTTTATCTTTAGTCTTCTCCCTTAAATTGTTAAGAGAAAGCTGCATTTCTGCCTTCAGATTTATGGCTATATGAAATATGGTCATTGTTAAGGAAGTCACTAAATTTGTATTTTTGCAAAATTTATTTTTGAAAATCTATATAGTGGCTTATATTAACCATAAACCTAAAATCTGATTACTCTATCATTAAGGCAATAGATTAGTGACAGTTTTTAAGGTGGGCAGTGCTGTTAACATTGACTTAATTAAGTTGAATTAACCTTAACTTCTTATATTCTATGGAAACTGAAACATGTTTTAAATTATTAGAATCTGTAGAAATGAAGTAGACAGTATAAATTGAATAGATAAATGCATATAGGTTATTATTATTATTAAATTGGATTATTTTTATTTGATGAGAAATTCTGTTTGACAAAACTTTAGCTTGTTTGCCAATAAAGTACTTATCATTTTTTTTTCTTCTTTTAAGAATAGGTGTTTTAGAGTACTCCTCTCTCTTCTCCCCCCCTTTCCACCCGCATCCTCTCCAGGCATTTAAAGCAAAAGGACTTTAAAATACTCCAGATATTATAGTATTTATGAATACAACGTTCACTGAAGGTTTTGGGGGGATACCATGTCTGCAGTCACAACAAATCTTCATTTAAAAATCCATACATCGATTACATTATATGGCTTTAATGTTATTCTTTGAGGCCAAGGACCAACTGATATTGTATTACTTGTTGTAGTACTATATTTGCTTTACAAAATGATTAAGCTTTCTCAAAAGAATAAAGGTTTTGTTAAAATGAGAAGAGATGATTAAAATCGTTAACAACAAAGCTCACTAATAATTTATACCCATTATACAGTCCTCATATCCCATTATAAAATAGCTCTCTTCCTCCATAGGAACATTCTTCAGTGGGACTCCTTCTTAGCACTGAAAAGAGATTTCTCCCTTTTCTACTGTTTTCAGTCTTTCCCTTCGCCTCCTTACCCATTCTCCTATAGGCCCTTTTCTTCCCACGAGATTAGAGGACTTCTTTTCCCTTTGATTTGATTGGAGTACATCACATATTCTCTTATATCTTCTTCCCAACTTCCCTTTTATATGTGCTACCATTTTGCAATTAAAGCCTACCAAAAAACATCGATTTACTTATAGGGAAGGTGAGTTCATGATGTTCCAGGCCTGTTCTTACACCATCATAATGTTATGTTTGACTTCTGTTTTTTGTCCCAGTCTCCTTGAGTGCTTTCAAAAGAAATCTCTTAATGGTCTCTTCGATATTGTGTTGTTATTGTTGTTTCTCTCAAACCATTCAGGAATATCCTCCTGTAGTTCTGTGCTCTCTAGGGAATCCATAAGGTTGTCTGCCTTATCAGGTGTTGTTGATTCATTCTTCTTTGTCTTAAAATACTTATTTTTATATGTCTAGACTTATTTTTATGATCTAGAGGCCATTTTCCCATCTATTATTACAAATAATAATTTAATAAACTACCTGAAACTTGCAAAGAATACTTTTTTTAGTAGGAGTTATTTAATATCTTATTTTAAAGTTAATATCCTAGTTATTTTATTCCTTTATTCATTTTCTTCATAAAACAAAGTTGGAGATAGAGATACAGAGATCTTTGGACTTATGGCTGTGTGTGTGTGTGTGTGTGTGGTGTGTGTGTGTGTGTGTGTGTGTGTATATTGTGTCATATGATTATATAATATAGACCAGTCTGAAAATATAAAATATGCTTAATTTCATCTGGACTGTTTTAATAGTCTCCTAATTATTTTCCCCCACAGACAGTCTAATTCATTCTCTATAGCAGAAGTATCAAACTCAATTTGAAACTGTATATAAGGATCCTTGAGAGCCATATAATGACTTAGAAAACCACATATTAATATTATCTGTTTTAGTGTATTTTTGTTTATTTTTTTAAAATAATTCTCAATTACATTTTAATCGAATCGAATCCTGTGACACTTGGGCGTGTTTTGGGGCAGCATGTTTGACCCCTCTGCTCTACAGTGTGAAATTGATCATCCTAAAACACCCAAGAATTTTCAGTAGTTTCCCTTTGCTCTAGGGATAAAAAATATAAATTGTTCTGTTTGTCATTTTAAGCCCTTAATTATCTCAATCCAACCTACCTTCTCTCTCCTTTAAGGGAGGAAAAAACAGTAGTCATTTCTGAGGATGGGATGACTCTGCTCACCCCCCTTCCAGATTGAAGCCTCTCAACACACACAAAAAAGGCAAAAATTAAAATATAGTGAATGTATCTGATTATATACAAACATTCTGCCTCTCTGCCATGAGGAGAGAGAGCTGTGCTTCTTTTCTCTTTTACTTATTTGCAGTTCAGTTCAGGTTCCTTTTCATTTGTTGTTGTTTTTGTCATTTTCTAACCTATCTTTCCAGAATAATTTCACATTATTCCCTATCATACACTCTATGTTATAGTGAAACTGCCCCATTTGCTGTACCCTCTACATGTTATTTTATCTTCCACCTCTGACTTTGAAAAACTATCCCATTTTCACCTCCTACCCACAGCACAGGACTCCTACCTTCAAGGTTCAACTTAAGTGTCAACTCCAAAAGAGTTCTTTCTTGATTCTCCCTCTGTTGTTATTTTACCTTCTGCTCCATATCACTTTGTACTAATTTTGTGTATATTGTGATTTACTTCTTTGTAAATGTGTTGCCTCCCTCCAGTAGAATGTGAGCTCCCTGAGGACAGTGATTACTTTTTTTTCTCTTCATATGTTCAGTGCCCGATATTAAATAGGTACTTAATGTTTGTTGAGTTGAATTCTATTGAATCCAGAGAGATTTGGGATATAAATAGGGAAGAGTAAGAGAAGGAGGTTATGCTTATGGAGAATGAACTGTAATGTATACTAACAGACCTTATATCTGTTCTGTGGCCAGTCTAAATTCAGAGTGATTTCTTCATTAAATGACTGGCTGTCAGATGCCCTTCTCTTTCCCCGACTCCCACCCCACTCATAAAACCAGCATTTCATGGGGTGTTTTTTTTCTGAATGAGCAGAGTGAGTGTCTGCATGGATAAAATCACTGAACCTCTTAAGATTAAGCATTGGGGCTGTTTTTAATAAGTGATGCTTAGATTATGGCTCTAAATCTAGATTTTTCAAAAGTAAACTACAGCTCTTTTTAAGAATTCTCATTTTTATATTTGGAATAATACATTATCACACTCTTAACAGAGTGATTATATTTCACATTATGCACTGACTACAACTGGGACCCCAGTTTACATCAGTTAGAATTCTTTGAACAATTAGATTAATTGCTCTTAACAGTAGTTGGGCAGTTTGTGGAAGAATAATGATCATCAGTGGAAGGACATATTACCATCTATAGGAAATGTCCTTTCTTTAGGGGCAAACATCTGGACAATTTCTCACTTCCCCAACCAGTGGGAAAGATTTCCTAAATACCCTTTTGCTTTCTGACTATGGGGAATACAATATGAGCCAAGAACCAGGCACCCATCTGGTCTCTTTTGTCTTTTGTAACAAAAACTATTAAGGGATTATATTTGCTCTTGAAAAGTGAGGTGATAAAGACCTCTCCTTCATTCCTAGGAGCCTCCGAGAAGGGAAAAATTGCTCATTCATCTCCTTTTTTAATATTAAGGAAGAGAACTCCTTTCAGAAAAGCCTTCAGTGC